ACCCCGAAGCGTTAAGATAAAGTGTTTTTTTCCTCATCCTCTTCTTCTTCTTCTTCTTCTCCTAATTATGTTTTTATTCTCTATCCGGGTTGTCTGTTGCCACGAGGGAGAGAGAGGGGGGGGGGGATGGAGAGAAGAGGGTGGGTGGGGATGCGCGAGGGGGTTGTGGGAGGGATGGAGAGAGAGAGCGCGCGAAAGGAGAGAGAAGAAGAAAGAGAGAGAGAGAAGCTGAAGAGAGAGATGAGAGAGAGAGAGAGAGATGAAATTGAGAGAGCGAGAGAAGAGAGAGAAGGAGAGGAGGAGATGGACGGAGAAGGAGAGAGATGCGAGAGAGAGAGAGAGATCAGAATGTTGAGAGACGCCATATTTCATTCATAAAAAACGTACCCCATTTTTCTTTTCCTTTTTTCAAGATGCTTCCAGACCCGATTCAGCGATTCGCACAACCCCGAGCCACCACCCACCCCACACAGCGCACCTACCCCCCCACCACACCCCCCCAACAACACATACACCCATACATACACATACACACACACAACACACACACACACACACACACACACTCACCACACACACCACACACAAACAAAACACACTCCCATCCCCACATCCCTACAACACCAACACACACACACACAACACACAACACATACCACCCACACACACACCCACAAACACCACAAACACACACACCACACACATACACCACACAACATACAACCAACCCACCACACCACTACACCACGCACATACACACACCACCACCCCACCACAACCACACACATACACACACACCAACACCCCCCCACCCACACTCAACACAAATAACCATACATACACATACACACACAACACACCACCCCACACAACACACACACACAATATATATTATATATATATATTATATATTATATATATATATATATTATTACATATAATAGGTTAATTCTATATATATTAATGTTAATTTGTTATCATTATGTGCATATCGGTGTTTTTATTGAAGATTAATTTGTCGTTGTTATTGTTTTTATGTCATTCATCTCATCACATTATTATCATAATAGTATTATCATTCCTTATTATTTTATCATTGTAATTATTATTGACATTATAATTGTTATTACAGTAATTATTATCATCATTATTATTCCATTATCATCATTATAGTTATTATCATTATTGTTGTCATCATTATCGTTATCAACATTATTGTTATTATTATTGTAAGTTTTGTATAATTGTTATGATTATTATTATCCATTATTTTCTTATTGTTAAAATAATTATTATCAATCAAGATAAAATCGAATAAAATTATCTTTCTTGTTAGTTATCATTGTTATCATTTCCAATATCATTGGTTTTTATATTAATATTATTATCATACATTTTTAACACTATAGGCCCTATCAATTACATGAACTAAATCTTCTGCAGTACCCTCATTCCCCCACCCCTTCGTTTCCTTTCCTACGTTAATCAACGTTATCCATTTTTGTATCTGTTGCTCGTTCTTATCATCTGGTCTGTCCCCTCCCCATCCCACCCCCCCTCACCCACCACCGCCGCCCTAAACAGTCCGTCTTGGTATTTCAAGCGACTGCTTAATGGACTTATTCGTGTTATAACCGTTAATCTGATTGTAAATACATAAGAATCATATATGCACTTGATGTGTAAATATATATATATATATTATATATATTTATATATATATATAAAATATATCAGTATGTATCACATTTCATCTCGTTCGCTTGTTAACAAATACAAATTTATATTTACTACAACGAAAACTACTATGCTAACTACAACAATACTAACTACTACAACTACTACTATAACTTCTACAACTGCTACTACTGCTGCTACTACTACTACCACTACTATTGCTACTTCAACAATAACTACTACTACTACAACTACTACTACTTCTACTATTAATGCTACTACTGCTGCTACCACTACTACTACTGCTGCTATTACAGCACACATCCTAGATAATATCA